ATTATGTCGAAAAAACGTTCTATACGCTCAGCATATCGTTATGGCACGCCATTAATTACCAGGCATGGGAAAATGTCTTTCAGCTAACGCCAAATTCTTTGAGATACCAAATGTGTCTCTAAGCCCCCATCGCAATTGCCACGGCGAAGTGTCGTGGCATTCTTTGACCTGTATGACCTCGCCGGTCACATGCCTCGTTTCGCGGAGCAGAGCGTCAGAAGACGGCAGTGAGCTCTGCCCCGCGTAGCGGACGAGGAGCGGCAACGCGGTGACGGCGGAGACGCCGGCGAGGGGCAAGTTCCTATATATATGTATATGTCCCCATATATGTATCTGTTGGTTGATCATGACTCAATACGGTTTATACAGGTGCAGTTATTCAAGCAGCAAATTTTCTGGCATCGCCGTTGTTGGGTAGTTAATGAAAGTAAAAGAGGGCCCTCAATATCGGCGAGGGACGTTGAGCGCTATGGCAGCTAACAACGCCTTGGAGAGTCACCCTAACAAGTTAAGCGAATCGGTCGCGTCTGCAAATTACACATCCGTCGGCTTTGGTGCCGGCATACCAATGCCGCACTCCGCCGCCGCTCATGAAGTGGGCACGGCGCCGCCATATTGGTCTAATTGCGGCCCGGCTCCAACGTCGGCACGGCACTTGTAAATGGCCGAGACCAAACGGCCACAATCCACCATTTGGTCTTGGATCGGACTGGCACGGAGCAGCTGCTGATAAGATGGGTCGGCTAGTCGCACGGCCTGGCGAGCCGTTCGAGTCCTGTGGTCCCCGCTCGCGTGGACGCCTGGCTCGTGTGCGCGAAAGCTGGCCAGTCGCCATGGCCGGCCAGCCGTCCAAGTCCCGACCCCCCCCCCCCCCCCCTCCCCTGGTGTGGACGCTTGTTTCGTGTGTGCGAAATACCGTTTGTGCCGTGTCGTTCCCCTGTGGGCGGTGGGATGAAGGTCTCGTACCTGTGAATCAGCAAGAGAGTGGTGCTGATGAACCACTGGGCGACAGCTGATATGCCTACATGCAAATGGCCTGATTATTGAGTATCGCGGCCGAGCCTTCTGGGTTGAATCGAGCGCAGCCAGAGGGTACCTTGACTGACTGCCCAGCCTGACAGCCTTAGTAGCAGCCCAAGCTGCAGCCGCAGCTTCAGGATGAGCGGCGCCCTGCATGCACTCTTCAAATGAGCCCTACGGAAGACATGTTGAATCGCCAAAGATGACACCGGTGATTCACGTGCAGCTTTAACAAAAAGATTCAGGCTATCATAATGCACCTAGAATTCATGCAGGCATGTGATGTCACAACATGTATTATAACCCCCTGTTCACTGCAGTTGATTTATACCAGGCTAATGTCACGAGATGATAAATAGCCTCTCTGATCGCTCCAAGAATCACAAACGTGTTTTAGAGCAGCAACAGCCCTCAGTTCAAAGGTTTCAGATTTATATTTCACGACTAATGCTCTGTAAAGATCTAAGGAAGGCGACCAACGAGCGATCCATCATCCGAAATATGCGTTTTACGGAAGCACGGTCTCAAATTGCACAATATCATGTTGGTGAAAGCTGGTAATAAATGACCCAACTACGGAACAAATTATGGAACACATTCTAGTGAGCAGAAATGTATTGAGGTACCTGGGCCATCTAAGCGCAGTTGTGACGGGGTAGTGAACAGACTGCTTGGAAAAAGGATAAAAACAGATGCATCAAGAGGGCAACAGAATACTTTGGTCATTTATCTCAAAATTATCCGTTGATGCGACCACTCTCTTCAAGATCGCACACTGTACACGTTGTTTTATGTTTTATCTGTCCCACAGAAGCAACAAGTTGAAAAAGGTGGAGACTACATAACCTAAGTAAAGCACAACAGCTGCAAACCATCCTCGCATTAGATCTTTTGCGCGACTAGACACACTTTTCAGACGCTATATGCCGTGTCTGCAGGTTTAGAAGGCCAGAATTAATGTTTGAGTACAGAATTCTCACTACACTCGCCGAGAGCCCACCGCTACACACACAACTACTGGGAGTGTGTGCTCTTCACCTGATTAATCTGAACCATCCCGGTGGTACACTATTTAACTTGTTGGTAAGTCAACAAACAACAGAGACGGCTAGACTGCATACTGCTACTGACGGAGCTGCGGCTCTGTTCCGCTTTCCACTATGCATTAATGTCAACGAAATGTCGTTTTCGACCTTCATTGGAAGCGGTAGAAGGTATTGGATTGCTAGCGCATCACTGCATGCCGTTTGTAACTGGCAACCGGTAGCAAACGTCTGACCTGGCCTGTCTCCGTTTGTGCAGCCCAGAGTTCGCCCTGGACAGGGCCACATGAAGAATTACCCAACCTTCCCTTTCAGTCAAAGGACCACTTGGTCGCTATAGGAGTTGCTCTGTTTTTATTTTAATTTTAGGGACCCTTTTATATGCAGATTCCATTTTTGACGCCTCGAGGACCGTTTTATATATTCAAGAATCCTACGAGTGTCTTAGGACTGCCAAAAATGACTGATACCTTCGCGCTAGGGTGCCCTGTCACCTTAAGGGACCGCTGGGAGGGATTTCAATGCACCGTCCCCCACCCCTCCCTAGCTACGCCACTGATTCACGTTGAAACAGCTCACACGTCTGAAACCCGATCTGCATGGGTTCCGCGCTGTCTAAAGAACTAAGCATGATACGGTAACGTGACAAACGGATGAGGCACAGCGCTTGGCAAACCGAATGGCATATTAGTTTAACGGTTATCAAAAAAAACATTGGCTTTCGATATACCTATGTGCATATATATATATATATATATATATATATATATATATATATATATATATATATATGTAAACAGGTGAGTATATTGCACCATTCTGCGCACATGAAGGTTTCAGTATTTGACCGAGAGCCCGACCCTGATTGGGCTGACCTTATGTTGTATTCAATATTTTTCCATGGCCATAGTATAATAAGACATATGGACAGAACATAAGACCTTCATAACGTCGACAACGCGGTAACCAATCGCGACCTACCTTTCGAAGATGACGTTCGCTTATCCTGCTCGCCTTGAGTCGATCAGCATGGACATTTGCCAAACCACTGTTCCCCATAAAGTGTGGTTATGGGACTGATACGCTATGTCTGCTCCTCCTAGATGTAATTGAGTTGCTTAATGTTCCATGATTACAGAGATGTTGAAGTGACATAAGTTGTCTCTGTTCCAGAGGTACGTCGCATTGAACAGACCGTTATTCCATCTCTTAGCGAAATCTATCAGTGAATAAAGTCTTTTATGACACAATTGGACGGACTGATCTGAGTCGCAATCCGTTCTCCCCTTCAGAGAGCTAAACGTGGTCTGGCCCATCGGTTTCAGCCCGGCATCTGTGCCACAACCTCATGTGTGGCACAGCGACACCCCCTTCTTCTGCCTTCACCAGTGACTTTGGCACCGGTGACTTCCACCGGTGCCACACTTCCCTCCGCGCGCTGGAGATCGCATCACCCGGCACTATGCGATCTCGCCCCGCCGCCCGTCGGACATGTGTCCATGACGCGCTGTGTTGCGCTGTTTCAGAGATACAGCGGGTCCAGTCGGACATCAGGGCCGCCGGCAAGCCGGAGTCCAAGTAGGCTGACGTCATCCGCGAGAAGCCGATCCGCGTCACCACTGCGGCATGTCGTCCCCGTGAAGGATCACCCAAAGGCAAGGCTTGGTCGACGCGCCACACCTCCGTCGTGGTCTGTTTCATGATGAGCGGTCGTCGATCAGAGCTGAACTCATTGTTATTGTAGATCGGCACGATCCGGCATGGAATGAAACAACGCGCTGTGGCGATGGTTAGCGTGTGCCAGTGGTGAGGGGATTAACATATCGGCGAAATAATGGGCCGATCTGAGCAACAGGCAGGCAAACGAGCTGGGAGAGGAGGGCTGTGGGGAACGAGAGTATGATCTGGCTGCGGTCTGTAACCAGCAGCATAGGGGGGGGGGGGGGGGGGGGGGGGGGGGGGCCGGACCCTCCGGATCGTTGGGCACGAGGCTGCTGCTGGCGCCCTAGCAAGTCAAGTGCAAAGGGCTGGAAGACAAGTCCTCGGCCCTCGCTAAACACCAGAATCTCTCTCTCTCTCTAATCTAGAGGTCTCTCGAGGGAGATCTCTCTTCGCTGCTATCTTATCTAGAGATAGCGAGAGAGAGAGGATTCGCGTCTCTCGGAGGGTCTCATATATCGAGGAGGCTCTAGCTAGATCAGGAGAGAGGCGTAGATTAGGCCTCTCTTAGAGCGCATCTAGCTCTCTATGAAGCTTAGCTCTCTATATCGATCTCTTCTCTGCTCTCTCTCTCTCTCTCTCTCTATCCTCTCTCTCTCTCTCTACTCTCTCTCTCTCTCTCTCTCTCTCTCTCTCTCTCTTCTGCCTTTTGGCTCACCGGAACTATCTCATTTAATCGTTTAGCATGTATTCACTGCTACATCGTCGCCATGTGGTATGAGTTTTGCTTTGAATATGCGGCCATTTGGACTAGGCCGACTATGTGTGTAAAAGGCAAATGGCTTTAAGGAAGCAAGTGTCGCAGGCTGATAATGAAGCTGGTTTTATTCAAACATCACCGCGCGGCCAGCTGTTACACAGCCCTTTGCGCCAAGAAGAGCTGATTCGACGCCACCGCGCTCTGGAGTGGATTGGGGACATGGCCGTCGAAGATAGTGCATTGGGTGTATGTGTAATATGGAAGCATGAGGAGGACCTACACATTTAATACCATTTGAGACATTCCTAAATTTCTTTGAATCATTTAACCAGCAGCTTTTGACAGCTCTTTAAGTATAAAATGCACGGTGCCTCCTCATGTGGGTCAGGCTCGTTAAGGAAGGCAAGCTGCTGGCATTGTAAACCCTCAAAACTGGACAAAGGTACATATAAGCCCCGCTGATCAAGTCAATCAGCCCGCCCTGTGCGAGTCAGTCAGCGGCCAGCCAGCGGAGCTGGATGGTCGGTCAGCTGTCGTCGGAGACGGTACGCGGAACTGCCGGTGCAATCCTCCCCCCCCCCCCCCCGAGGGGCGTGGGGAGGAAATCCGTCAGAACGGCTCACTCAGCTGTCAAAAGACTGCGCAAACTGATGCCAGCCGGAGTCATAGTTTCAGCACTGCAAGGTTGTTCGGGCCGAGTAAAAAGACCCACGCATGGTGACTGGTGTGAGTCTAGTCGAGTCGGTGGTGAGTGCATGCGCGCAGAACTGTCGACACTCTGCACCATCCCACACGTGCAGATCTGCGGCACACCGCACCATTCCTCCTGTGCAGGGCTGCCGACACACTGCACCATCTCACACGTGCAGATCTGCGGCACACCGCACCATCCCTCGCGTGCAGATCTGCGGCACACCGCACCATTCCTTATGTGCAGAGCTGCCAACACACTGCACTATCTCTCACGTGCAGATCTGCGGCACACCGCACCATTCCTCATGTGCAGAACTGCCGGCGCAATGCACCATCCCTCACGTGCGGAACTGCCGGCGCACTGTACCTGGTTTCACGCGCAGAGCTGTCAGCACGCTGCAGTATCACTCACGTGCAAGACTGCCGGCACATTTCCCCTAATCTCACATGCAAAACTGCTGACACACTGCACCTCCTCTCACGCGCAAAACTACCGGCACACTACACCATCTGTCATGCGCAGAACTGCATGTACACTGCATGTGCTCTTACGCGCAGAACTGCCGGCACGCTGCGCCAACTCTCAAGCACAGGGTAAGGACTGCCGACACACATTTGCCTCCACGTGCAGACCTGCGGGCACACCGCACCACCCCTTACGAGCAGAACTGCCGGCACCCTGCACCTACGCTCACACACAGGACTGCCAACACACTGCACCTACGCTCACGCACAGGACTGCCAACACACTGCACCTACGCTCACGCACAGGACTGCCAACACACTGCACCTACCCCCACGCACAGGACCGCCGACACACTGCTCTTCACGCTCATGCGTAAAATTGCCTACACATCGCACCTCCCCATATTCCCGAAATCGGCGGTGCATTTGTCTGATAACAACTGGAGGATGCTGACGACGTCACCGACCGCTCATCGTCAGCGAGAGAATGCATCTAATCACGCGTGGTTCAACTGTTTCTTAATTTCGACCAATCGTCGCCATCGACGTGGTCGGTAACGGGCGTCAACGACTGCCGGAAGGTAACGGGGATGTAAGGCCGCAGCGGGGACTGGTACAGGCGAGCCCGCTGAGGCGCCCCGCACTAATGCTGGCCTGTTTCTCTCACGCGTGTGTGCTCGTTGCAGTTCAATTTCGTCGGCAAACTGCTCGGCCCCAAAGGCAACTCTCTCAAACGGCTACAGGAGGAGACGCTCACACGAATGGCTATTCTGGGCCGCGGCTCCATGAGAGACAAAGTCAAGGTGGGTCTACTTCCGACTGGTGGTTCGCTCCCCGGCCTGGTGTTTTGCTGCGTCGCCCAGACTGTCATAGTACCTTTGGATGTGACTGCCTGCGATGCGGGGGGCAGCGACTTAGATTGGAAACTAGCGGCACGGCACCACAAATATCTTGAACTATATTTTACGATTACAAACGTTGTTGGCTCATAGAACAGTGTCATGTGTGCAACTTACAAATATATGTATGCCTGTTTCCGGCAGGAGCCTTCAGATATTTACTTATGACAGCAAAGTGAAACTAGCTCAAGTCATATCCTACCGATGTTTCATTCGGAGGTCATCTGCAACGATCGATGTGATGCAGCGTCGGTGACATCAATACTTTGATCTGCGATGTCATGGCTGCAGTGAAAAATATCCAGCAACATTAGTTTGTGCAATGTCTAAGACACCTGAGGTGATCATGGCCTCTAAAAACCTGAACGTCGCCTCCGAGACGCGTCAGTTATGTGGCGGTTGATACTGTCACGTGGCCTAGTCTGTCGTCCGTTTTGAGCTTTCAGCTGATGCACCCTCGTTTAGGAAAAGTTTTGCCGAAGCTTTGGTCGCTAATGACGCTCATTGTAAAAACAGCCTGAATCGACACTTTCAGAGACATTTGACAGCGACGGCCCCACGCATGACTGTATGGGATAGGTAATTTCCGGACCCTCCCAAATGCACTTGGCGACCCAGTCTTCAAGTTTTCCCACGCGCAAACTTTTAGGAGCAATATCATGGCTTAAAGGTCTGGGGTGAAAGCTATTAAAACACTCAAGACAGTTAAAAGAGTGAATTCGGGTAGCTAAGATGGTAACGCGACCTGAGAATAGCTCAGGACATGCTTAAAAATCGGAAGGAGCTGGTCTTTGCTCGTCAATGGTTTTACAAGTGGCACAGCGCTCTCGAACCCCTCAGAATTATGGCGCACAGGAGAGCACCAGGCCAGGAAAAGGCCAGCTCTAAGAACAGCATGTATGTTTCACAGGTAATGGTACGATGCATACGGATGGGCTGGACCCTGGAGTCATTGTGCTTGCGACACTCTGGCAAAAGGTGTTTACAGTGGGCTGTGTAGTGGCTCGAGTGCAGCTTACTAGAATGGTTGGTCTCACTGTACAAATTGCGCCTCCAGCCTTCCTGTGGGACGGAGTATGGCGACAGTTCCAGACCACTGACAGATAAGTTCACGGTGGTATTCAAAGTGCCTTTGTTGTGATCTTGCTGCAGCGAGAACCGTTTCAGGTGCACTACAAGGGTACATGAAAACTTCTAAATCAGGAGTTCTTGGGGCACTTGACCTTCCGGCACATGGAGAACGTTGGCTTTTTATCTCCGTCAAGTAGCTCTTGCTTGGTGAAAAGGTCAAAGCAATCCTGTTACCGCACTTGGTCCGTTATGGACGGGATCAGCGGGCTCAGGTCCCAGAAACGGTCGAACGTCGCGGCTGGGGTGATAAATGCATCTTTTCTGTCACCGTCGAAATGTAGACCGGCTCGGTTGTCACCTGAAGCCTTCCTTTCATAAGAAGGAAAGGCTTCAGAAACCGTTGAAATATAAAGGTGCGATTTTTCAGAAACCGTTGCAATATAACTCTAAACGCGATGCATCACAAAAACAAAACAAAACAAAATGCAATCAATGCGGCATGGCCATCAGCCACTTTTGTGTCGTGAGCTCGTTTACACTAAAGTATCATTTGCTGACCATCAAACGCTGAATGATGGTTGAGACTAAATTTAAATAATTATAAGATAAATGGAGACTTTACACAACCAGCCACGAGGCGTGCAGTTTCGTATTCAGTTGGGGAGGAGGCGGAATGGGCCTGGTAGCCAGGTACGTAGTTCCCTATTTCTAGTTAGCATTTTTTTGTCCATTATTTTTAATTAAGCATGATTTGTAGGTTGTAGCCCAAAAAAGCAACTTTGAGCAGCTACACCCCTGCTTCCAGCTCTGAAAAGAAAGTGCGTCAAATCTGCGAAAAACTGTTTTTAGTGCATTTCGGAGGCAGGCTCAGCTATTTTCTTCCTGCCCCCTCACCCCCTACGTATTTTGCAAATCTGCATCCCTGTAGCCTCACATTTATCAACAGAATAGTTCTACAAGCACTTGAAAACGATGCCATTTTGGTTTTGTGACGTCATACTACAATCAGCTGTAAGCGTTGGCAACGTTCGCTGCCTTCGCATAATCATAACCTCTGCAGAACTCGTGCTTCCTAGCATGATATAAATTAATTAGTGTGAAATACATGCAATAGGGGTATCAACAGATGCAATCAACATCTTTTAAAACCTCTAGCACGTTCGTTTGGCTTGATACGCAATGTGACGACAATTAAAAACGTTTTATCTACCGCCTGTCTAACGATCAATACGCTGAGTCTGAAGTGCAACGGGTATTGTGAGTCGTACGCCAGTGATACTCGGCGTCGTACCTTAAAGCCGCTGTCCCTCTCAGAAGCAGGAAGCCTCGTATGAGCCCGTGACATGTGTCTTTCCAACGTCCTCCGTTTGTCTCTGGAGATACAACTCAGTTATCTACAACAACTCAACTAGATCGGCCGGGCTTTCCACGCTATTACTAGGGACACCCTTCATGGTAGATCTTTAGAGAAGCCGCAAAGCACTATCAAAACTGACAATTAGCTACGCTCTTCAAGCCAGCCAGCTTTTCACGACATAAATACAGCCAACGGCAGTTCACAGTCTTGCACTGAACCCAAATCACCACAACGTGGTGAGCATTCAAGCCTATCTGCCTCAAATGGGGCACGGCGCTTTAAAACACTGGATAGCAGCCCAATCACGTCCTTCGCAAGATGCTGTTACCAGCTGTGATCCTTACGACTAGTGATACACCTTGTTATGTGGTATTTTATATTGTCAAAGGTGAAGGGAATCTTGGCGAAAAACTATGTGAAAAGCACTGATCTGAAGTGCATTGGAAAAGCACTGTGTCGCTATTGATTTGTGATGCTACCACTGATATAGAATTGTTTGTGGTTTACTTCCGTCACCTGCTAAAAACTATCCTGATCAGTTACTGTGTTTGGCAGCATCTTGTAGCTCAACTTGCTCATGCATTGAAACGTCAACGTTTCGACGTGCGTCCTACACATGCTCACGCTGCAACGTTTGCAAGTACAGCCCAATACTAGGCTTTTAGTGTTGTCTAGCTGGGATGGCCTGTTGTTTTATGGTCCGGGTTGTTGCAATTTGTTTTCATTTTTGCAACTCTGTGACTAACTAGCTCACAAAAGTGTCCGTTTTACCGATCACCGATCACATCCTGTAAATCAGAAGCTCTTTTCACCCCTGCATCGCGGACACATGGTCAAAGCCTGTGCACTGCAGTGTGGACCTGGGCTGTCCGACAAACAGATCGACGAATTTAGAGTTGGACAGGAGCAACTTTAAGATTTGGTTTCCATTTTTCCGCCCAACAAAATGAGACTGAAAAGCACTGCACCGTCTATAAACCACCCGAGAAAAGAATTGATGGAGCTTGTGGGTCAGGAAGCTGCTTAGGATCTTATCACAAAATACGCAGCGAGGGAACGTGCGAGGATGGCGTGGACGCCTACAGCGAATTTAATTTCACGCTCTTCAAGTCTCAAATCCTGTTTTAACCTTTTTTTTGCTTGTGAATCACGGGGGATTTTGTCGGTTGAATGCGTTTAAAACTGTCAGAATATGATGACATAAGAGGCTCACTTGGGCTTGGTAAGTAAACAAAGGGATTTTCGACTGCTGTTGTTGGCACCTTCGGACGCATGAATCCTCTTCTCACTGCAGTAAAGGCATGGCGATAGTTTAGAAGGCTTTGGCTCCGCGGGTTCCTACTCTCGACGAACAGACATCTCGTCACATGCCTGTACGAGATCGGCATGACTGTGTTCACGCAGGCCGCCTGAAAACGCAAACCGTCAGCCCCGGCACACGGGCCTAGCAGAGCCACGGTGCAGTCGTTCGGTCGAGACAGAGCCACGGTGCAGTCTTTCGGCCAACAGAACCCCGGTGCAGTCTTCCGGCAAACAGAGCCACGGTGCAGTCCCTCGGCCAACTGAGTCGCGGTGCAGTCCCTCGGCCAACAGAGTCACGGTGCAGTCCCTCAGCCAACAGAGCCACGGTGCAGTCTGTCGGCCAACAGAGCCACATTGCAGTCCCTCGGCCAACAGAGTCACAGTGCAGTCTTTCGGCCAACAGAGTCACGGTGCAGTCTTTCGGCCGACAGATCCACGGTGCAGTCCCTCGGCCAAAAGTCACGGTGCAGTCCCTCGGCCAACGGAGTCACGGTGCAGTCTTTCGGCCAACAGATTCACGGTGCAGTCCACCGGTCAGTAAAGAGCCACAGTGCAGTCCTTCGGTCAACAAGGCACGGTGCAGTCCCTCGGCCAGAAAAATCACGGTGCAGTGACTCAGACAAAAGGCTTTGCACTATGCTATCTCGTGCGCCGGCTGGCACACCCGGTGATCCACGACTGTCTCGCGCGCGTCGCTACTGACCACTTTCCAGGAGACTACCATCGGATTGAGGTTGACTTTATGCACGTCACGCACGTTCAAGCAGACACCACCAAACAGCTAAGTCTCAGGTCGGTAATACCCAACTGGAATATGATGTCACAGAAACGTGTAACGATGTTTTATCGGAACAGGAGGGTGAAAGAGTAGTTTTGAGAGAGCAGCTGTTAGCGTGTCCGTTCCACGGGGAAACCTAGGTCCCACGCGTGCGGAACGACCAGCCATGGCCCCGACCCAACGTCAGCTGACAACTGGCCAGAGCTCCGACCAAGCGCAAGCTGACGACCAGGCAGGGCTCCGAACAAGTAGCCCTCTCTCAGCCGCCGGCGTGCACGATCGAACAGGTTACGAATACAGTATGTCCCAAAGGGGCTCAGGGCATACGGGAGCTTGCTTAATGCAGACATAGCTTCCATGGGGCAGATGTAGCTCTTTAGAGCGGACGTAGCTACCTTAGAGCAGACTGAGTTTCCTTAGAACAGACGTAAGTCCCCAGGGCGCTGCCAGGAATTCCAATACACACACACACACACACACACACACACACACACACACACACACACGACACACACACACACACACACACACCACACACACACACACACACACACACACACACACACACACACACACACACACACACACACCACACACACACACACACACACACGCACACACACACACACACACACACACACACACACACACACACACCACACGCACACACACGCCACACACACACACACACACACACCACACACACACACACACACACACACACACACCACACACACACACACACACGCACACACACGCACACACACGCACACACACACACACACACACACACACACACACACACACACACACACACACACACAATGTATCAAAGTCACCCATAGGGTTTTGCGTTGCTTCAGTTGTCTTTTCCGTCCTAAAAGATGTTCTTAAGATGATGGTACGCAATTTTGTCCTTAAAAACTGATAATTGATGTTTTGTGCCATGTATATTTATCCAATATACAGACCGACGAATATATGAGCGATTTCGCACGAACTTTGTGGGTGTGGGTGTGTGAGTGTGGGGGTGTGTGGGGGTGTGGGTTTGTGGGTGTGTGGGTGTGTGTGTATGTGTGGGAGGGTGTGTAAGCACATTATAGCAGTCTGGATTCAGAAAGGGTTCTGGTGACAGGCTTTAAAACCGCCCAAAAACAACCGCCACCTCCCGGTAGAATGTTGGTTCGATCTATTTCCGCCTGTTTGCGGACCGCTTACGAACATTTTGTTTAAACGTTGGCAGGAGAACCAATGCTGGCACAGTAAGCTAACAGAAGGCCCTTCGTTTTAATACCACGAGTCACGACAGATCAGCGTGCATTTCCGCCGCACACTTATGGTCACTTTAGCCCTCAGGGCCGAAGCGTCAACCGGCGGCTGTGCTCGGGCTTACCACTTGTGAGGCTGCGATCTTGATGGCCCCTAAGCCTGAGGGCGAATGGCTGTTGTCTGGTAGGTTAATGTAGGGTGTAGCTGCCTATTCAATTTTGGGGATCCGGACCCTAAACTGTGGGGACTCGCGTATTTTGAGAAAAAAGTTCGGTCACTCTGTCCGGCTTCAGACCTCCAACTTATATTTCGAAACTGCACCCCCAAGCCAATGTACTCCACACGCAATGCAAACTGGACTTTCGCAGTGGGCCTCAGTGACGTTTAAGCTATTCCTGAATTTAGTAGTAGAGGAGACGGAAAATGATGACGATTGCAGGTGGATAATTCACACATGAGAGCAGATGAGAGGCGGGTGAGGCTGCCTAGGTGAGGGTATAAGACGGCCCACGACGCGGGCTTCCCCAGCCTTCGTCACGCGTACTCAGGAGTAGGAGCTGAGACGCGCCTCCTCAGACTCCGCTATTGCGCCCCCAGGAGGAGGAACTGAGGAAGTCGAACCACCCTCGCGCCGCTCACCTGCAAGAGGAGCTGCACGTGGAGATTGTGGCGTTCGCGCCGCCGGCGGAGGCGTACGCAAGGATGGCATACGCCCTGACGCAAGTGCGGCGCTATCTGATACCAGACAACAATGACCAGGTCAGGGGGGGGGGGGGGAGCATGAGGAGCTCTCAGGTCAGGGAGAGCATGAGGAGTTTTCAGGCCAGTCACTGTTGCTGCGGAGCAACCGGACCAGGTCAGTGTTGGGCATCAGATGGCGAACTACATCCGAGCCGGATCGACTCCCGTATTCCTCCCGGGCTTGCCGAATGGACCAGGCACACTCTCCGCTCACGCGCTGTCGAGCCAGGTACATTCTCCGCCCACGCGCTGTCGAACCAGTTACATTCTCCTCCTTCTTACAGTTACAGTTTTTTTTGTTGAAGGCGGCTGCTCGTGGCGGTTGTTCTGGGCTTAGTCTTACAAGAAAAAAACACACAAAGGACGTAGAGGTAGACATACAAGCACAGGTGAAAGCTGTTTCGGTCAAGGAGTCAGCGATTTAAAACAGTCAAGAATGCCCGGCGCGAGGGGGCGCGGACGGCCGCCGCAGGCAGCCGGTCCCATGCGGCGGCGGCGCGGTTCGGACAGCGCCGCTGAGTAGCGACCAATCGGAGCGCGCGGTGGATGTAGCGAGCCGATGCCGTCCGAAACAGCCCGATTTTGGCGTTGGGAAGACTCGGCGCGTGTCACGAATAGAGCGCGCAGTGCACTGGGGGATTCGGGGACGTGCAGTGGCCTGTACACATGTAGGCGGCGCCAGATCGGTGGTGTACCAGATCTGAGACGCTACACCAGCCGGGCCTCCAGCGCCTTCCTACGCCAGCTTCCAGAACGGCTGAAATAGGATCGTCGCGTCGGACGCCACTTTCTCGCCTGGCTGCGAAGTGCATCACCTTTTGCACCCTGTCTAGGTGACGCTCGGCCGCTCCACCCCAGGTGGAGAAGCAGTAGAGGGTGTAGGACAAGACCTGAATTTGGACAACGAGCCCAGAATCTCAGGGGTGAAGTGGCGTCAAATTTTGAGCAGGGGTAGGAGGGCTGCATTACAACTCTGGACGAGTAAGAAGATGTGGGGTTTCCATGTGAGGTGGTGGTCGAAGAGTACACCCAGCATCTTTGCTGAAGATGATGGATGGTTGTCTGTGCCGGAAATGGCAATGTGGAAGCTGCCGGTCTTTGTAATGGTTTGGTGCCGATCGGCATAAAGTCTGTCTTTTTAGGGCTCGTAGTTTTTAAACCTATTTTAACTATGAATTCAGCGAGTTCAAAACTCAGACCACTTTCGAAGGCACTGAATGGATTTCTCAACACAGGCTTTCAGGCTGGATAGGACGACGACGTCGGGGCTGACTGAGTCAAGGAGTTGGGTTTACGATATTCGGCGGCAGTGGGGTAGGAAGCCGGATAAGTGATGGATGAAGATGATGAACAGGAGTGGGCCGATAAGGCATCCCTGGGCCACCCCGTGGGATACGGATAGGGTAACCGAGCCAACAGTAACCACCTACTTCCAACCGCCCAGGTGGTCCCGGAACCATTCCGAGAACACCTCGCACCATTCCAGCTTGCTGAGAAGGACGCCGTGATCAGCGCTATCAAAGGCCTTGCTAAGGTCAATCGTCGTCATCGACGCGTTATTGCCGTTATCGACAGCCTTTACCAACCACCCGACAGCGTCGATCAGGGCGTCCTCCGTCGAGTGGCGTCCGACGGTAAGCTCCTTTGCGATGGCGTCAGTACAGGTTGTCAAAAAAGGTATGAGGCCAGCTGCGAACCAGACGACCTTCAACCTTCTGGCAATAGTCGGCAGTTCTGAGAGAATAGAAACGGGACAAAAGTTGTTCAGGTCTGATCAATCGCTTGACATGAACGCCGGGGTGACGCGCGTAATCTTCCAGACGGACGGAAAGGTGCTGGTGATGTGATATAATTTTATCAGACGTAGAAGATGAGTCGATTGCAGGGGCACTTTTCCCTGCATGGAGTGGTGCGCCATCGACGCCGACAGCCCTCAACGCGCTCATTTTCCAGCCGGCTGCAGGGAGCTCCGGTTAGAGTGGCTGGATGCAGGGAGAACCGGCCGAGACACAGGACATCGGTACGGGCCGCCGGTCCAGCCGGGGGCGCACCCCCACCGCCACGCACCCGCCGCGCCTCCTTGGCGATGCCCGGGGTCCAACGCCAGCGAAGTAGCCTTTGAGTGCGTCCGCCGGGGTTCCCATGCCCGTAATCGAGGGTGTCGGGGCTGCCACCCTCTCTGCAGCCCTCTGTCGTGGCCCCTCGCTGGCTGCAGTCTGAACTGCTTGATGCGGCTCCAGAAATCTCGCGGGGGGGGGGGGGGTGGCCCTGTCAGCAGACCGCTGCACAGTAGAAGCGTCACACACGAGAGTGATGAATCCCTCTCCCCTGTCCACCGGCACCGCTGGTACGCGCGGCGCAGCCCTCTGTGGTACGGCAGGTGCTCCCAGGCTCTCGGGCATGGCATCTCGCTCCTCTCTAGCTGCGGGGCTTCGGTATATCCACGCAGCCATGCACAGCCACGCCGGCATGACGTCACGGCGATGGTCGGGCAGTGAGCGCGACTGCGGAGTTCCACATTCCATAGGTGCAGCCACCTTGTCATCGACGGTGCCAGCGGCGTAGAGCGATCCCAATTGGCAAGCAGCAGACTCAGGCTGAACGCGTCCCAGCCGGCACTTTTTCACGGCCGCACAGTGGTTGTGACTGACCGCCGGCGCTCTCTGGGGACGGGAGCACGGAGTAGCACCGGTTGGTGATCCGGATGGCGAACCGGTTGGTTGGTTGGTTGCTTGGTCACGTTGGTGACGATCAGGGCGATCAGGAACACTGCTCAAAGAGCCGTGCTCGTGTTGGGTGGAGGTGGGTGGGCCTGACGACCATTTGTTTGAGACTGATGTCTCTCAGCATGGTCCGGAAAACGCGTACACCGGGGCCGTCTGGGCTTACAAATCAATTTTGAACTCTTCTGGTGCGAATACCTTTTTTCCTGTGGCGACGGCGGCCTGTAGTTGGTCTCGAACGCTCTCCATGCATCGGGACGTTGGTCCTCCCGGTGGTCGGTAAATGACACCGATCACCACCGTGCGGCGGCCGGGGCCGCTCACCGAGAACCACAGAGATTCCACCATGGGATCGGTACTACCTATATCGGGTTTTGCTGCGTGGAGGGAGTCCGTGACGAGAACCGCGACTCCACCTCTTCGTGCCTGGGTCTGCTGGGCTGCTGTCAGGTCAGCCGGGTGACATGGCAGTCGTGCCGTGGCATGCTGAAACCCGGGAATATCAGCACCCTGTCTGGTACCGTAGGCTTGAGCCATGTCTGAGACACACGCAGGTTGTCCATGCGGTATTTCTGCACCACCTGGTTGACATTGTCTAGTCGACATCATTACGATATCAACAGCATTACAGCGAGGTCGACTCCCGGGCCCAACAGCGCCGCCACAGCCGCATACCAGGGGCGAAATGGCAG